ATCCGATCGGTTTGATTTTTAGAGGGGCTATCAATCTTTGTGTGTTATACGATCTCAACGGTGGAGATTGAATTTTAACGGCTGATTTTAAAGTTATTGAATCAAGAATGGAGTTTGCCAAGATCGATATCGAGCGAACACACCATCGTTGACAGGTTTGATCACATTTAAATTAAATCTTTTAGTTATTTTGAAAATTTTTTGTGATGGGATTTGAGGTTTTATAGGTTTTTCATACTCTAGATTTGTAGTTTGTAGGATTGATTGCTTCTTCTTCCCATAAATGATTGCACTCATAATTCAAGAATCTTGTAATTTGATTCATTGTGTTCTTTGTGTTTTTTGATTCTTGCCTTTGCAATCACACTTGATATTCCTCTCTCTCTAGACATATATAGATATATATATATATATTGTCTTTTTTTTTTTCAAAATTTTAAAATGTAGCTGTTGAATGTGATTCTCATCTTTTTCTATGATTCTTTGTTAGTTTTTGGAGGAATTTATTCAAATTTCTATTCATCAATTATTTTTCAATAAAATAATTTCTCATAAATATTATTAAAAAAATACAAATATATACACACATCAATATAATATGTATATCATCTACTCATAAAAAGTAGACTATTCAATACAAAAATATTTTTTTATATTACAAACACAATTCTCGTACCACACACAAAAAATCATTTTATGCTGAATGAACTGAATTTTCTTTCCTATTGTTTGAATTTAGTTTAAATTTGATTTTTTTTTTCACTTTTGTTTTTAAGTATTCTTCGTGTCATCTAAATATATACTCCCTCCGTCCCATATAATATGTGTGTATTACTATAGACACGAGAATTTAGGTAAAGTATAATTAGTAAGTAACTAGGAAGTGTATCAGTAAAAATAATTATTATTTAGTAAAAATAATTATAGATTAATATTAAGATAACAAAATAGTTTAATTAAGATTAAAAAAAATTAAATTTTAAATTTTAAAATATGATTAAAATGTATAATTAATTTTCCAAAAAAGGAAAGGACAAATTACGTGGGACGGACGAAAATAGAAAATAGAAACAATTATGTGGAACGGAGTGAGTATTTATTTTTTCTTGTTATCTAAAAATATTAACCTACAAGTTTATTTTCTTAAGTAAAAAAAATTTATATTATATTATTTCTATTTTTACTATAAAAATTAAAAAGTAAAATAATAATACTAAAAAGTACACACCATATTAAAATTCATATCCAAAATTTTTGAGCCTATATATATATTTTTTTATAACAAAATAATATTATTTTAATATAATATTATGTAAAAAATAGTAATATTTTCGTATAAAACATCGTATAAACTAAATAGTAATAATAATTTTTATTTGGGCCAAAGCCGAATAAATTCATTATGAATCTTGAAGTTTGAAATTAACATGACTAGACATACCTAAAACTTGATAATGAAAATGTATTGTTCTAAAAAGTATTGCCTTAAAAATAATCAAGAGTGATATTCACCCAATATTATATATAAAAATAAAATAAAATAATATTATAGAAAAAAAAAAAAAAAAAAAAACTGTTTAAACTTAGAGATAACCATATTTTGTTATAAGAAAATTTTAAAATGTCAAATTATTTTATATAAATAAGTTTTTTATTTAGTAGTTTTAATTAGGAATATATATATATATGAATAATAGGAGATTGAAATCAAATACTCCCTATGTCCTATAACAAAGTATCTATTTTTTTTTTTATTAACTATACTATCTATCTAACATTATAAATACTCTTACAATTTACAATATATTACACAAATGTCACTATCTTTATATCACACAATACTAATAAGATTATTTTAGTCATTTCTACTTTATTCTCACTATATATCTCAATATAATATTAATATTTTTAAAATTATGTGAAAAAACAAACGGACGTATAGTTATAAGATGGAGGGAGTATTGAAAACCTTTTTATCATTTCCTGCTATATATATATATATATATATACATAATAGTTACACACCATTTTTGAATATTGATATTTGGCACATTGAAATTCAAAATTGTTTTTTAATCGTAACCAAAGCAAAGTCAAACTTTGATCTGTTTGCATGCTACGTACATATATAGCCCACATTTTTATTATGAAAATTAAATTTAAAAGTGTGTTTGTGTTTTTCAATGTGTTTTTCAAAGTATTTTGTAAATTTTAAAGAATACCGAAAATTGTAAAATGTGAGAAAATAGAAAATTAAATACTTCCGTGTGTTTGTTCGGGGGTTTGAAATTTGAGTTGAGATTTGAATAGTAAAAATTCTGAATTTGAATAGTTGTACGATGTGATATAAATAGGTGTTGATGTGATGTTTTGAATATAAAATTGATTTTTAGTATAATATAAAAAAATAAAAAATAGGTGTTTGATTTGATATTTTTGAAAAAAAAAAAAAAGAGATAGAATAATGAAAATCTAATCCAATCCCCTTAATAAAAATTTAAATTAATTTTAAATTACAACCAAATAAACTAATTAAACAGATGCGATATATCAACTTGAAAACTATATCAATATATATATATATAAAGGTAATTCTTAAGCTATTTCATAGTGTGATTAAATAATCAATAATGGCATTCTATTAATTTGTTAGACCTGTGGGTTATATATATATATGATTGTTTGATAATAATATATTTACATATCTGAAATTTTGTGCAGGATTATAATAATAATAATAATATAATTCATAAATGGGAGCAACCTCTTTCATGTGGAGTTTTTTCGCAGCTTTCTCCCAAGGTACCTTCTTTATTATTATTATTATTATTATTATTATCATCATCATTTATTTGTATAGTGTGTTTAATTGGTGATTTATTTTATTTAAATAATAGTTTTTTTTTTTTTTTTTTTATGTAATACTCCCTCGGTCCCATATACCATGTCCATTTTGCCGTTTCTGTTCGTTTCACATATCATGTTACTTTCATTTTTTGGAAAATAATTATACATTTTAATCTCATTTTAAACTTTTTAATTTTATTTTTTTAAATTTTAGTTAAACTAATTAGTTATTTTAATCTTAATTTATAATTATTTATATTATAGGATAATTATTTTTACTAATACATTTCTAATTATCTACTAATTACATATCTCCTACAACACCGTATCTATAATGTACCAGACAGTGTATGTGGGACGGAGGGAGTATTTTATAAGAATAAATAATACTAATGTACTTTGTTAGGAAATATTCCGGTGTGGCTTTTTAGGATAGTTTGAAAAAAAATTGAGTTTAAGTTTAATTTTTATTTGAATTTAAAGATAGGTTGGATATTATGTGTTTCTTTTAGGTTTAGTTTTAATTTTGAAAATTTTGATATATATTGATTTGATAGCTAATAAATACAATAATATATATATTAAATTTAAAATTTTAAAATTAATAATGATATAATTTAATTATAAATGTATATTGTATCAATATATATTTCTACATATATTATTTATTTGTATTAAAAAAAATTATTTTTTATAAAATAATATATATTATATATATTTTATTAAATTATAATATAAATAAATATTAAATAATTATAATTAGAGAATCCTGTGCACCGTGGTGCAGGGAACACTCGAACTTTAAAAAAAATATTTGAGAAAACTACATGTTAGACCGAAGTAAATTGGATGAGTTCGATGTCAATATCCAAATCTATAGTCTCGTGTGAGCTCATCTTCAATCCTTCACTCTATTTTTTAATATTTATTTATATTATAATTTAATAAAATTAGATTTTTATATTACTTTTCAACAGTAAAATTATATAATGCAGTGGATTGGAGATGATCTGAAGAACCACACCTGAAAATTGTAGAATAACCAAAGTGAATATAATTGTCAATAAAGCAGTTTTCTATTAATTTTTCTTTCAAATTTTATGCTATTAGTTCAGTTCATCTAAAAATACTGAGGGAATATATTCAAACACATAATATTTACAAATAGCATAAGATTTGAAAAAAAAAAAAACTAATAAAAACACGTTATATTTAAACATAAAATATTATTTTTTACTTTCTCATTCCAGCTAGAAAGTATACATATTTTTATTTTGGAACGTCCAATTACAAAGTAAACATTTCATTAAATACCTCACTTTTTTCCACAAATACTCTTACTTTAAATCACGTTATTACTTTTACACCAAAAAATAAGCGCAAAAAATGTCATTTTATTACTTTTAACTACCCACTAAAATTAAAATACTATTATTTCTTAAACACCGCGCCAAAAGTAAATGTTTAGTTTGTGTGTGGACGGAGAGAGTATATTACTAACTCAATTTTCTATACATACACAAAAAAAATAAAATAAAATTAATTCATCTAAAAATATTGTGTTTTCAACTAATATTTTTTTATTATTATTTCTTGTTATTACATAATACCAAAAATTTTCAATAAAAATGTATTTTAATATTTATTTTCACTTCTATCACCACAAATAAATTATTATTTTAAATATAAAATAAAAACATAAAATACAAATACAAATACATTTGTTATTTTAGTACAAAACTTTTAATATACTTTTTTTTAAAATTACTCCCTCCGTCCCATATAACATGGAAGTATTACCGTAGACACAGGAATTTAGGTAAAATATAATTAGTAAGTAATTAAGAAGTGTATTAGTAAAAATAATTATTATTTAGTAAAAATAATTATAGATTAAGATTAAGACAAGTAATAGTTTAATTAAAATTAAAAAAATTATAAAATTTAAAATGCGATTAAAGTGCATAATTAAATTTCTAAAAATAGAAAATACAAGTTATGTGGGACCGACGAAAATAAAAAATATGGACAAATTATGTGGGACGGAGGGAGTAATATATTATACAAACTCATTATTTTTATATAATCTATTTAATTTTATATATTTCACATTAAATTAGGACTTTATTTATCGATTATTGAAATGCGACTTTAGTAATGAAAACACGGACGAAGAAAGAACATAAGGGAAAGTCGTGTTTAGCCTCCGGCAATTCCAACGACTCATGTTTTCGGGAAGTCACGACTGTAGTCTTTACAGTCCAATGATTTGCTGAAAACTGCGAGGTTGTTAACGCCATAACTGCGGAGCATTTCCAGTGAGCTCATTCCATTGATTATCCAGGCAATTCTGCCGTTTTTGCCCGGGAATTTGCCGAATCTGCGTGTGTTTTGGAGTGGTGAGGTTTTTATAAATGAGTATTTGTGTTTGCCATGGCAATCGACTCCTATTTGTTCCCGTCGTACTTCCGAAACCACTTGTATTTTCGCAAAATCGAAATCTTGTAGCTCAATTGAGCGTTGAGGATGCCGCGAAACGGAATCCGTCTCGGTTTTCTGGTTCAATTTTTTCTGTTGAACGCTCTGGGAAACATGAATTTCTAGTTAGAGCTGCTGCTTCTTCTCCTTCTGCTCCCCTCGATGGAGACTCTGGTAATGCTTTTACGGCTTCGCAAGAGCACGAGGTCTTTGTTTTGTATGTGAGCTTTGTTATATATATATATATATATATTGTATTGCTTTTAGCTCTCTGCATTTGATGCAGATTATTGTGAGTTTTTGCTTGTGAGGAAGTTTAGTGGTTTTGTTGATTGATGATTGCAAGGCTGAATTTGATCTCTTATAATTATTGATCAGTGCTGAATAATTGGACAGGTTGAACAATTAGTTCATCAGATTTCGATTTCATATGTGGTTACTTGGTGTGATTCATTTCATGTAGTTCTTCGTTAACTAGTAGCTAAGTTGAATTTAGCACACATACATCAGTTCATTATCTGTTTGCTTCGATGCATAGTTAGCTAACTGTAGACTATCGAAAACAAAACTGAGAAGTCATATCATTGTTGTTTTCTTTTTAAATTTACTGCTAGAAAGCCTTAAGACTATCGAATATCTTATTTGTGGATGTTTGTTTACCTGGAATTCTAGAGGAGCTACAGGGAGCTAGGCCGGAGACAAAAACTAAAAGAATAGCCGGCACAGATCAGGAAGAAATTGAAGATCCGGTCCTTCTATCCGATCCCGATAGTTGTTTTTGTGAGTTCAATGGGGTGAAAATCCACCACAAGATTTTCGACTCAGAATCATCAGCTCTGGATAGTGTGAAACAAGGATCAGCATCAAAATGCACTGAGCCTACCAAAAGGATCAATTATCCTATGATTCTATTACATGGCTTTGGAGCCTCTCTCTTTTCGTGGCACCGAGTGATGAAACCCTTAGCTCGGATCACTGGCTCAAAAGTTCTTGCATTTGATAGACCAGCCTTTGGATTGACATCAAGGGTAGATGCAATCAACCATTCATTTGATGGTAAAAAGGACTCCAGACCCTTGAATCCATACTCGATGCCGTTCTCTATACAGGCTACGCATTACTTCATCAACACCTTAGCTGCTGAAAAGGCTATCCTCGTGGGGTATGTTTCTGTTCTTGTCGTAATCTTAAATTTCCCGCGTGTCTTTTCTTCTGTAAATTAACGATCGTTAGTAGTTTCATATTCAACCTTTTATGGCATATATTGTAATTGTGCTTGTACCAAATAGCATATCTATAAGAATGTAAATACTAATACCAATGAAGATTTTCAGACACTCAGCTGGTGCCCTTGTAGCAGTAAATGCGTATTTCCACGCCCCCGAACGTGTAGCAGCTCTGATCCTTGTTTGCCCTGCAATTTTCGCTCCGTTTCCTTGGCAGAAAACTGTCAAAAAGGAGCAAACTGGAGGCAACAGTGAGATACAAGAGAATGATTCATATTCAACTACCAGTGGGAATCTGTTTTCCATATTATGCAGCCTATTGTTAAAGATGGTTAAGTATGTCGCACAGGCTATAGTAAATACGGTGAAAGGCATGGCTAATGTGATCGATTCCCTTTACAAGAAAGTTTTATCCAATATCCTGCGGTCTGCAATTGGTGTTACACTGGTATGATTCTTATTCTGTAATAGACTTGAATTGGTAGTATTATAACAGACTTTGATGTGGTTTGATTCAGATAAGGATGTTCATTGATAGATGTGGCGTGTCCATCATTCGCTCTGCGTGGTACAATTCTAACCAGTTTTCAGATTATATATTACAAGGCTACACCAAGGCAAGCTCTTGATTATGCTTTTCTCTGAGATGCTCGAAAGCTATTCGTTCTCTAAAGTGTAACAAAGTTCGGTTATTCACAATTTGCAGCCGCTAAAAATCAAGGGCTGGGACAAGGCTCTATTGGAATTCACAGTGGCTACACTAACAGATTCTGACTCTCAAGCAAAACCATCTATAACAGAACGTCTGAACGAAATTTCTTGCCCGGGTAAAACATTTTTATCATAGATCACTAGCATTGTGTTTTAAGGTGCAGGCTTTGGTTTTGATAACTGTTGTTTGCTTAATGAGCACAGTTTTGATTGTAACTGGTGATACCGATCGAATAGTACCTGCTTGGAACTCTCAAAGACTTTCGCAAGCCATTCCGGGATCTTCCTTTGTAGAAATCAAGAAATGTGGCCACTTGCCCCAGGAAGAAAAGCCTGAAGAGTTCTTGTCGAGTATTGATAAATTCTTGCGAGCAGCGTTTGGTGTCTCGGAAGAGCCACTCCTCCAACCTGCAACTTAAGGTTCATTTCACTTCATGTAATGTTATTATTTGTGATAAAACACATGCTGATTAGGTTATCAGAATCGAATGAGTTAAAAGGGCTCTTGTATGCCGGCTAGAACTAACAACTTCATTTGCTTAACGATGTAAATTCCCGGCATGATGTAACATGGCTTGTTCCCAATTTATACAGATTTTTTGCTATGAAGAATACACAACATGCCTCCTGCTTTTTACAAGTTTGTCAAAACTAGAATATTTAAATCCAATTCCGAAAGTAGAAAGTAACAATCCTTGAGGAGGAACTGTAAATACAAAGTATGAACTGATAGCACATTATAGTAGTCAAAACAACGTATACTATAACTAATCTCAGCGCACAATGTAAATTAACACAGCACACATATCAACTAGAACATACAGCGCATGCTAACAATCTATACAACATGTGCCGTAATATGTTTATGTACTGTGTAGTGTCTTAAGCTTACATATTTTCCCTTAGAGGGGGAGCTTATAGTTGCTTCTTATTAGCACGTATCATCTTCTCGTCCTCGGGACAACCTTTCACAGAGCGCGTATACATCATTGTTATGGATCCCATACCATCATTGTCCTCAAATCCGCATTTACTAAAAAATAACCTGTAAACAACATGACAGTGGCGTAGCGATTCAATGATCATATACCGACAATATCTATGTATTAATGGATCATTTGACTACTGTAGAAGTGCTTATATAGTATTGCATTGACAGATAGGAAATTTGGAAAGAATTACCGTTGTTTCTCAGTGCAGAGTGCCGAAATGTCATATATGTCTCTGTGAGTGAGAATTCTGCAATAGAATGTTTCGAAACACCCTTGAATTTGTGTATTTGAACCAATTCATTGTTAGATAATGGATTTCTTCCAGCATACCTTAGAATTCTGTTCACAATTTTCTTGCCAATTCCTCTTCCTTGTAATGCAGGATGAACCTGCAAAAAAAATTGCGACACAGTGAGATCAATTCAAATTCTCCACGAACTTCAATTTCCGAAGAATTGATTGAATAGCAAAGCTTCAGATTCAATGAGGTCTATAGCGAAGACTAAGCAGGGTTGTGTGGATTGACTATGACATCGTAGATCGAAGCAGTCAATCCTAAATCAGAAACCGCTCGGCCGAAGCCTATGAGCCATCCGTTTTCTGGATTCACAGGCGTTACTCTTCTTATCCAATCTCCACCGATGCCGACGGAATTTCCTGATTTCGATGCTGTAGAAGGTTGGGGAGCTAGGAACTCAGGCTTGGTGAACACCGAAACGACGACGGAGCTGTGAGAAAGTGCAGTTTGGAGCTTGAGAATGTCGACCGGATCCACCCTGCCGTCGGAATCGACGGTAGGGTAACGGTGGCAGGAGTGATTGCAGATGGCGTAGAGGTCTCGGAGGTGGTGCAGATTCACGTGCTTTACGTTCGTGGATATGAATAACGGCGGCGCAATGGTTGTAGGTTTGATTTGAGCGGCGATTTTGGACAGCGACGGCACGGAGCGGCGGAATTCGTAGGGAATGTAACTCCCGCCGACGGCGGTCGCAACTGCCATTTTCCTTCCCTTTCCTTTCAAGGTTAGGCTGTTTCAGACTTTCAGTTTTAAATAACAATCATTGTTTTAGAGGTTTTTTTTAATTAAGACTGTCCTCAGTGCCATAAGTACGGGTTCATTTTATATATTTGTCTATTTTAAAATAAAATATTATTTTCTAAGCTGATAGGCCTACAATCCATACTAACTCGCAAATAAGCGAGATGTTTGCGGGTTAATTCGAAATAAGCGGGATGTTTGCGGGTTAATCCGAGGCGAGGTGGATCAAAATTTTATCAGCTCAATCTAATTTATCAGTGGATGGCAAGCTAAGCGGGCTAGTTTACTGCTTTTTTAAAAATATTAAAATAATATTAATGTTATAAATATTTTCGTAATTAATATTTAAAAATAATGAAAAAATAGTTTTATTATAGAATTTAAATAATAAATATTTTAAAATAAATAGCAAATATAAAAATTTTCAATTTTAAATATTATTAGTTGGTGTATTTAAAAAAATTAATAATAAGAAATACTTCATTTTAAAAATAAATCATAAGTAATTTTATAAATTTGTAAAATTATGAAATTATAAAATAGAAGACGAAAAAAACAAATTATGAAAAATCTAAACAAACAACAGTGACATGGATAACAGAAGAAAAACGTGTACAATATTGATAATTTATTTAAGCTAATGATAATATAAATTTTATCTTATTCGTCTTAACTTAAAAAAAAAAAAAAATCAGTAGATTAAAAATAATCATATATTATTTATTAAAGTGTACAAGATGATTTTGATATTTTTTTGTACGTTATTCATAAATTAATGGTATATATGTAATTTACATAAAATTAAAATATATTATGATATTAATATTTGATTAGTTTTATATAATTTTTTAGTGTGATCAAAAAATACTTTTTAGTTAGTCATGTGAGTACTAATTATTATATTTAATTGGCCCGCGGGCTAACCCGCCCCACTGCGGGCTAACCCACCCTCAACCCGCAGCCCACACGAGTTGGCTCATTTAGATCCGCATTTTAACATGTTTAAGAAATTACAACCTAATCCTCCTTAAAAGTAAGGCGAGACGGGCCACACCGACGAGCTCAATCCATTTTGACGGCTCAAATAATAAATATACTTCAACTTACAATATTTTATATAAATATTATTACATTTATATTATACAATATTAATAAAGATAATTTCATTTTTTTTTTTACTTACAACTCAATATAATATTAATATTAAAAATTCTATGTGAAAAAGTAAACACTGTTTTTTATATGGGACGGAGTGAGTATTATACTTCACACTCGTTATGTCATGTGTGATCACAATTGATAAAAGAAGTTTTGAGAGGATGTATGTATTTATACTATATGTTATATAATTAATTAAATTATTTTATATTCGTTGACGACAATATTTTATGAATTTATAGACATTACACGGTATTACTACATATGCGCACACAACAGTTATGTAACACATCACATATTAACAAACAACACATATATTTATTATACAAAACATATGCTATGTATAATAAAATTGTATGTTGTTTGTCTGTAATATGGTTAATGATCATTATCATATTAAGAGAGTATATTATTATAAAATAAAAGTAATGTTAATAAATATTTATTTTCTATTTTAGAGAAAATAATTATATTAATACTAAATAGTCTTTAATTTTTATTTAAGTTACACGTACAATTACTTTGTGCGAAAAGTCAAATGGTAAAAATGTCAACATTTTTTTTTTATAAAAAATAACAAATTGTGTGAGATAGACGAAAATATAAATAGTAGACAAATTAAATGAGACTTGATATTTTTAGTTTTTTAATTATTTATTACACTATCATTATTAAATATATCAATATGATTTTAAAATTTGTATTTACTTATTTTAACTTAATATTTAATTTAATTGATTATTACATTTATTATGCTAATTATTATTTTTTTTATATAAAAATCATAATAATATTATCATGATATTCTAAAAGTGTGTTTACTTTGAATGATTATATTATACTACCTCGATTATTTCAATGGATTATATAATCAATGAACTAATTTATATAAATTTTACTTTACGTGATTAAAGATTAGATAAAATTATAATATGTTATTTTGTTTAATTATATGGTATAATTATTTTTTCTTATCCAAAATACTCTTAATAATATTGTTATAAATTATTGTAATATAATTTATTATATATATTTTTTCTTTCTAATTATAGCAATATACGTATATAACAATATTGAAATTTCATTGAAATATTGTCACGGCATAATATATATAATTTGATATATTTATTATTTATTAAATATATTTAATCTTGTACTCAAAATTATATATTAAATTTTAATAACATATTATATAGCATTTTTATCACTTTATATTATTGATTAAAAATTTATAATATATATAACTTATATTTCAAATAAAATCAAAATATATTAAACAAAAAAAGATTATTATTATATTTATATAAATGTTTCTAAGTGTTTAAAAAAAAGAGTAATTTAAATAATTTAGTTAGTAGATTGTACTAATAATCTTATAATTGTAATTGTGATTGTAATATCTAACTAACATAATAAATATCATTCCAATTTACACTATATTACACAAATATAATTATTTTTATATTACACAGTATTTTCATCTTTTACTACCATTTATTACAATATTAATATTAAAAAATTTCGGTGAAAAAAAAAAGGAAATGACAAACACCGGAACGGAGGGAGTATATCAATTAAATTACTATTATGCCGAAAAAAATGTATGGATACATATAAAATTTAATCAATACATCAATTAAACTATTATGCTGAAAAATTATTATTGAAAATAATATAAAAATAAAAGGAAAAAAAAAACTCAAATAAAATCCAATATTATTAGTATAAATTTACTCCTATATTTTGTTAAAATTATGATTATAAGTTGATATAAAAAGAAAATTTCAGGCCACCAAATCATTTATTTATTTGTTTAAAATGTAGTTTGGAAAATATTGAAAGAAACAGTAATCAGATTATAAGAGCAGCAATAAATTGGAAGGCCAAAACGACCATAGAGACAGCGTTCGTGATTTGCTTTGTTTGTGGATAGGAAATTATAACTCTCTCAGCTGCTGCTGCCTTGTCGATTGTATCGATTTTGAACTCCAAAATCCATCTCAGACTTCGACCTGAACCCACATTCAAATCCAACAACTTTTTTCCCTCTTCCTTCTCCCTCCCCGGGAGGAATTGAGTGATTGATTTTAGTTGTGGGAACGAATTTGTGTGTGAGCAGGCGTAAAAGAAGAAACCCTGGAGAAGAAGTGTGGGTTGGTGTTCGAATTTACTCAGCGATTGAAGATCATTGCTAATTTTTGGGTTTGTGGGTGTTTGGATTTTGGGTTCTATTGGCCTGTTTGTGATGGGTAGAATTCAGGGGAAGAGTTACTCCTTTTGGCGTGTTATATATCATGTATTTGTGTGATTTTGTGTTTAGGGTTTGGATTTGAGGTTCGGAATCGGATATGGATGGGCGGCGAATATCGGCGAGTCCGAGGCCATGCTGCGGGCGACGAGTGGTGGCGAAGAAGCGGCCCCGCGGCGGGATGGATGGGTTTGTCAACAGCGTGAAGAAGCTTCAGCGAAGGGAGATATCCTCCAAGCGCGACCGCGCTTTCAGCATGAGCGATGCTCAGGAGCGCTTTCGCAACATTCATCTGCAGGTTCGTCTTTCAAATTTGAACCCTTTTTGTTGAATTGTTTGTGGATTTGGACAATTGAGATGGTTAGGGTTTTGTTTGCTTCTGATGATAATTAGGGCTTGATGATTAAATGTTCACTAACTCAGGAATTTGATCCCGTTTTGGCTTAAGCTTTGAGATTTGTGTGGAGCTTGGAAGTGTAGATCGATTTTGAAACTTATGAGCATCCCTAGGGTTTGAGTTTACAGTGATTGGAGAAGATGAAGGTTGCTATTGAAATGTTTGTATGTTAGCTTGATTTCAGAAATCAAATTTGGAGCATCCTCCAGTTAATAAATCGTTTTTTTTTTTTTTTTTTTTTGTGGCTGTCTGTCGGTGTTGTGTTTGATCAGGAAGCTGAGATTCATTTGTTAGCTATGGTGGGTTAGATTCCTCTGTTTTACTTTTCCAAATGGTGATTGAATCATGTTATAGCTTGAAGTATAGATCTTGTGGATTTCGATACAGTTAAAAAAAAAGTAACAGTTGTGTAGTTGCATCTTTTGCAGAATTTTGAATGCCATTTTTGTCGATTTTTTAGCAGAAAAGGCTTCTCAAATTGATTAGGAATTTGATTTCATGAAGGATTAAACGATCTTTTGTCTGTTTCTGCTTTTATTTCGGTTTCTGCATTTAAGGGCAAATCTTTTTGACAGTCTTCTTTATTTTTTTCTTATCCGCTATATTGATTGAGACATGGTATATCGACATATGCCTAACCATAATGAAGCTTGTGGGTGCCAGCTTGATATGGGTTATAACCTTTTAACGCCACAGTTTTTAGGCACGGCCATTTTTGGAAAAAAGAAAACAGAACTGTTAAATTAGGAAGACATATGGTTGTTTTAATTCATTAATGTCGCACCAATTTTAGAGGTGTATGCGGTTGGGTTTAATTGCATACATCAGTGGCGATATTAAAAAGTTAATCCTTATGTTCTTACTCCTGTTTATAAGTTTTACTATGAGAGCAGCTATAGATAGCTCAAGTTTTTTTCAAGAACCTTGTTTAGAAAGATATTAAAATGCTTTTATAGCCATTTACACACGTGTACAAAGTTATTGGAGTTCACGGTTTTTTTTTATTTTTTATTTTTTTTTATTTTAATCGTTTATTTCTAACTGCTTGAATGAGAATTTGATCGATATCCACACTTATATTGGTGTGTGGTTTTCCGCAGGGTTTGGGTGTCTCTGTAACTGTGTATCTATTATTTGTATCCACTGCTCGGTATATAATGAAGCTTCTTAAATTTCTTGTTGTGAAGCCTCCTTTTTGGATTACTAAGTCGACTTATTTGGTTTTTTTGCTTAAGGAAAAATCAGCTTCGGGCCTTTTGGCTATCAAAAAGATCCAATATTTGTGATGACTGTTTGTTTTTGTTTTTCTAGCTCATGTTTATCTTCGGTGCAGGAGGAATATGATACGCATGATCCGAAGGGGTATGCTTATTTGTCATTGCCATTTCTTAAGAAGAGATCCAAAATTATTGAGATAGTCGCTGCCCGTGATATTGTCTTTGCCCTTGCACAATCTGGTGTATGTGCAGCATTTAGCCGAGGTGCAGCAATGCTAAGTGGAAATTGATCATTTTCCTTTTTTTAACCATTGATTCATGGTTGGAAGTAGCCTTTCATATAATTAATTTTCTATATGCAGATACTAACTCGAGGATATGCTTCTTGAATATTTGCCCTGATGAAGTCATTCGAAGTTTATTTTACAACAAGAATAATGATTCGCTCATTACAGTTTCAGTATATGCATCGGACAATTTTAGTTCCTTAAAATGCAGAACGACAAGGATTGAGTATGGAAATTCTGTCTGTTATGTCAATATGGTTTCTTAATGCTCGTGTATCTCATTTCCAAACTAAACCTTTTTAGATACATAAGGAGGGGTCAACCTGATGCGGGCTTCCCCTTGTTCGAGTCTGAATCGTTGAAGTGGCCTGGTTTTGTGGAATTCGACGATGTTAATGGGAAGGTTCTTACTTATTCGGCGCAAGATAGGTAAATAAGAACTTTTTCTGCATAATCTATTTCTGATGCTCAGAATTTGATCGTGTTTGCTGATTTTCCTTGTTCCCCGATTTCTTTTCAGCATATACAAGGTCTTCGACTTGAAAAACTATACAATGTTGTATTCAATTTCAGACACGAATGTTCAAGAAATCAAAATCAGGTGTGTTACATTTTAAGAAATGTGTTGAAATAAAAAATGGTCGCTGTCTCTTTATATTGTGAATAATATTAGATGTGTTGAAATCGATCGGTTTGAACTAAAAGCTTCATAGGCATTTCTAGAATTTCTAGCATTAGGATATGGATATGCCCTTTTGTATTTTGCTCGTTAACGACATTTAAATATTAATTTCAGTTGCCTGATTTAGCTTTGGTAAGTGGTAACAGCCCAGGAATTATGCTACTGATATTTACGAAAACACAAGGCGGCGTTCCTTTAAAGATACTTTCGATCGAGGACGGGACTGTTTTGAAATCTTTCCACCACCTTCTTCACCGAAACAAGAAGGTGGATTTCATCGAACAGTTCAACGAGAAGCTTCTTGTCAAGCAAGAGAACGAGAATCTCCAAATTGTCGACGTAAGTCCTCTTTTTTTTTTTTTAGCATTTCCACGATGCTCATTCGTTACATTTACAATCTGTGCAACTGTCTTTTTTAGGTCCGCAACGACGACATAACAGAAGTGAGTCGAACCGAATTCATGACCCCTTCGGCGTTCATATTCCTGTACGAAAACCAACTGTTTCTGACATTCAGAAACCGAACCGTCGCCGTCTGGAACTTCCGAGGGGAGCTCGTGACATCGTTCGAGGACCATCTTCTATGGCATCCCGACTGCAACACCAACAACATATACATCACGAGCGATCAGGACCTCATCATCTCTTACTGCAAGGCTGATACTGACGAGCCGTTATCCGACGCAAACGGTAAGCCTCTTTGGAGACATTATACTTCTATTATCTGAACTGAATCGACAAAACTACAGAGTCTGACAACGGCGCTGTTTTTTACGATCTCCTTTTTCAGCCGGATCGATCAACATCAGCAATATCTTGACGGGGAAGTGCCTGGCGAAGATAAAAGTGAGCAACAGCGTACCCCTGAACGAGTGCAACTGCGGGGCGAGCTGTGGCGGCAGAAAGTGCAACTCGAGGAAGCGAATCTGGGCTTCGAGAATCAGGAGCACAGTGGCTGAGGCACTGGAGGACATCACTGCGCTCTTCTACGATGAAGACCGTAATGAAATCTATACGGGGAATCGGTATGGCCTTGTCCATGTCTGGTCCAGCTAAAGGTACCTTTCCTTTACCCACCCACCCCACCCCTTGGGATGAAAAACAAACAATTGAATGAACGAACTTGTGAAGCGGGAGGTTGTTAGATTTGGCATTGGCTTTTTTCGCCATTGTCGTCGTTGGATAGCTTCGGAGAACACAATGGGGGTGAGAGGATGGTTGGTTGGTGTAGAGATTTAGGAGAAGAAGAAGACCTTTGTTTGTTTGTTTGTATGTTGTTTGTTTCTATACATTTGAGAGTCCTGTGTTTGTTTGTTTTGTTTGTTATGTCGAGAAGAATGAATATTTGTTATTTACAGTTCTTCTTGCATTGTTGCCTGCATCATCATCATCATCAACTCTCTCTCTGTCTGTGTGTGTCCATGATCATCAGGGTCTGATTGATTTTTTTAATATATATATATATATATATTTATATAGTTGAGAGAGATTATTATGGCTGAAAATGGGATCCAAAGGTGAGAGAAAGCAGAATTTGTGAATGATGGATATGGATATGGTCCCTCCCAGTCCCTACCTTCTTCCTTATTGTCGTCAACATGTAATAATAATGGAGTAATATTTAGCAGTGTGTCTCTGAATTATTGATTGATTGGTTTTGTGTCGTCGTGTTTGTTTTGGGACACTGAAATTGAAACCAATTTTTTTTTTTTTTTTTAAATTTTATGACGTGGGAACCCGCAGTCGTGATCTTTACTCAAATTCAAATATACGTGTCCGAAAATGGCAGGTTGGACCTGAAGGGTCGGGGGTTTAAAGCCATGACCTTACGTCCCTACACCACCAGACCATCCCTTACGGGACAAAAGAGTATTATATTTTATTCTGTAAGGTGTTGTCAATTCAGTGCTAATTTTTAGTGTAAGTTCAATGATCTTTGAAAAATTTCTAAAATACTAATGAACCTTTGTAAATATAAAAGATTGTAAAATTAAATAATAGGAGTATACTTTTTATATGTAATTACCAATATTTAAAAAGTCGATAACACTATTTAATTACCCTTTTAGATAATTGATTGTTTAATCCATTATCATTATTTTATTATAATCGTTGTTGTCTCCATTCTCTATCATGATGATACTTGAATCTTTTAATTGCTCAAATTATCTATCTTTAATTATTATTACATTATTTGGTTTATATGTACTTACTTTATTTATCAACGGGGACTTTGAAAAAATGAATTATATTGAATATTATTTTTTTTAAAAAAATATATATATATATAGGGCTTGTTGTTTAGTGTTTTGTTTTCAATTTTTTATTTTTTATTTTTATGTGAAATTTTAAAAGTTATATTATAATATAAAAATATAATATTTATATTGAACGGTGATTTTTCGTGAAAAATAAAATATATATATTAAAAATCAACCATATATTATATTAATTTACTAACTACTGAAACCTTAATTATATATAAATAATTCAATCATATGCTTATTAATGTTACTTTACACTTTTGTATTTTATTTAATATTAATTAATGATTTGCCTTTCCAAATACTTTTTTTTTTTTTCACTTTCCAAATACTTTTGTATAATTAAATTGATGACATTGATTATTAACATTAATCTAAATATTTTATCATTGTTATATTTTAAATAAACACCAAAATCTATTTTCTATTATAATAAAGCTAATCCACTCGTAAATATTAAAATATCTTTTCTAACTTAATTAAAAATATGTTATCAACACGTCCAACATGAGATGACCTGGTGGTGTAGATGTTGGACTTGTGACTGTGAACGTAATTGTATATGTAATGATATAATAATAATTTAATTAAAAGTTAATATATTTTTGTATTAATGTATGATTACTTCTATTAAAATATAAAAATAATATTTTTGAGCTATATATAAAAATAAAATAAAATGTTGTATATATAAAAAAAATACTATATACCATTTTGATATTTTAGTATTTAGTCGATAATTTAATATATTAATAATAAAATTATTATTTTTAATATTTTCTTAAATTATAAAATAATTTTAATTTCAGTATGAAACGGTATATATCGATACTGTACGAGTAATTCGATATACTCCCTCCGTTTCATTGAAAGGTTACCATTTTCCATTTTCGTCCGTTCCAAAACAAGATTACTATTTCCTAATTAAGTAATTGTACTACCTACTTCACATAATAAATACCCTTTCAACTTACAATATATTACACAAATGTCGTTACTTTTATATTACACCATACTAATAGGAGTATTTTTGTCTTTTTTTTACTACAATCCAATATAATACTAATATTCAAAAATCTACGCGCAAAAAGCAAACACCACCCTTGTTGCGGGACGGAGGGAGTATTGATTTTTTGATACAGAATTGACATTTTTTAAAACATATCCGAAGAATTCAGTACTGGTATGGTCCGATAATTTCAGTAAATAGCACCAAATCATTGTTAATTAGAATAATTATTTGATGTATTAAATTTGAAATTGATTTTTAATGTAATAATAATAAAATAAAATAAAAAAAAAAACTTTACATTCTATATTTTTAGAGACAAAATTTAGTAAATAATAAATTCGAATTGAAAATTATGGCCTAAAATTTCTATTCAATCCATGTGTCACTTAAACGACCCTATCTTATGTAACACGTTTTTTATTAACTTATTTATCAATCAAAGTGGCGCTTATCTAAAGGCCAGTAGTTGTTTTACCTTTTTTATTTTTTATATAATCAAAAGTTATTTTTTTATTTAATATAAAAAATAATACTTTATTCGTCCCAAAACTATAGTATTAATATGAGTTGTATTTGACATGAGATTTGAGAAATATTGATATTATATTGGCAGTGGATAAAAAATACGAGTAAAAAAGTACGAGTAAAAGACTTTTTTGCCCTGATGAATGTATTAGTATAAAAAGTAGTGGCAACTGTGTAATAATAATGAAAAAGTTAAGGATAGTTTTACAGTGATATATGATTATTTATGGAAATGAGACTATTGTTTTAAAATAAACAAAAATGATAAACATGACTATTTGTATTAAAACGGAGGGATAAATACTGTACTATTTTATCTTTTTATTATTTTCAAATCTTAAGATTAAATTCAGATCCAACCCTTGAAACATACACAAATTTATGTTTATGTACTTCCCGTATAATTATAAAATTCAGGTCAAATTCAAAATCAAACTATTAATAAATTTTAAATTATCTATATTTTGAAAATTCAAAATATAGCTTACTTTACATTACTTTTTACTACTTTCAATTATTTTTTTTATTTTTCTTATTATAAAAAAACAAAAATACACATCACAATAAAATTTGCGTCCAAATAAAATCAGTTTATTTGTTTTTATATATATTTTTGGTAAACTAGATAATACATATATAGTATTTTTAGTAAAAATGCACGAAATATTTTATATATTTTATTTAATATTTGCGTGTTAAATTAAAATATGCAAAATATCTTAAATAGTATCTTTTAAATAAAATAAATAAATAATAGTATCTTTTAAATAAAATAAAATAAATAAATAGATAATCGATCAATTTTTTATTTTTATAATTTTGATAAATATAAGATATCAATTTGTCTTAAAAAATAAAATAAAAAATCAATCAATTGTCATTTATTTATTTTATTAAAAAAATGACTAGTTAATATATTTATCTATTTGAATTATCTAAAACTTGCATAAATAAATTTATATTTACACTCACATATCAGTTTTGAATTAATAAAATATTTTGTGCATACTTTAATTTACCATAAGGATCAACAAATAAAAAACTAGTTATTTTAGTGCATTTTTACTAAATTACAATAATTTAATTTATCTTATATATATATATTATTATTCACAAGCAATAATATAATTTTGATTTAACCAAAATTTTCTGAAAACAGTAAATGAAAACAACATGAGGAAAGAATTCGCCAAACGGTGTAACTGTTGAGTGGATGTGCAGAGTAACAATCACCGAATTGCAGAACCGTTAAACCAAATTGAATCGAATTGATTTTTCGGTTAATCGAACAAATTCGGTTCGAATACAAATATTGCATATTTGATATTTGTTCGGTTCGGTTTCGGTTTTTGATATTTTTTTTCGGTTCGGTTAACCGAACCGAATATATTTATATATTTATGTTATTATATTTTAAAATATATATTAATAATTATATTCGATTCAGTTTCAATTCGGTTACGGTTCGGATATTTGAAAAATTTGCAAATATTTTGATTTAATTAGAATTTTAATTATTTTTTAATATATTATTTTTTAATTTCGGTTTGATTTGAATCGAATTATATGCAAATATTTTCGGTTAACAGAAATTTTTGGTTCGAATACGATTCACGATTTCAGATATTTATTCGGTTCGATTCGGTTATCAAATACTTGCATATTTACAAATATTCAAACTATGTCCATCCCTAACTAAGACATTCCAAAAATCCAATCTTCATCGAAACCCTCTCACGTCTTTTTTATACTAAAATTTAGGCTACCTTTTATAAAATAAACATAATGAAAAAATTAAATATTTAATATAACATTTTATATTAAAAAATATATAATATTCACTCGGTTCCATACACGTTTGATTTTGGATAATATAATGAAAAAGAAAAATGTATTGATGATTTTGGATAATAAAATGAAAAAGAAAAATGTATTGATGTAATAGAATAAAGTGTAAAGTAGAAATTAAATAGATTTAATTATTTTTTATTTTAAAAATATTGTAAACAAATAAAAAAAAAATGTTATAAGGTATTTATATATATTTTAAAAATTGATATTGATAAATAATAATTGATGTATTTTTGTATAAAGATTTTTGGGTTTGTATTTTTGTTTTGATATAATTATGTTAATGTAAATAAATATAAATTTAAGATATTTATAGTACTTGGATTGAACTTATTAAAAAATTTATATTTTATGTTTATAAAAATGAAAATGATATAATAAATAAATTTTGAATGAATTAGAGAGAACATTATTTAATGAAAAAAATTAGTAATATTAATAAATACTAATATAAACATGACACATCTATCTCTGGTCTGTAATTGAGAGAAATAAATACATAGTAATAAAAGTCGAGTTATATGTGCGTGTGCTTTTAGTCTCTGCTTTGCCGAGGTGTTGTAGTGTACAGTTGCTCTCCACACACTCAAGCACCTCCCTTTATTTTCTCTCTCTACGCGCTTCTGCTCTCTACAGCTCAGACCTCAGCTACAGTTTACGTGAGTGCTCTTCATCTCTGTCGCGAATCTGTTGATTTTAAGCTTT